ATCCAGTCTTGAACTTCAATTTATCATGTAAATCATTCAAAAGAAGACAACTAGATAACATATCAAGAAATATATTCGAAGGGAATAAAGATTATACTCGAAAGATAAGATTATAACTGTTACTAACATAGTAACTTCCGGCTTCTTTCGAGTCACTCGTCGCTCGTCAAATCGTTTCTATGCGGCTTAGCTAGATATCGTCCCCCCGGATCCTTAAATTGTACATTCCAGAAGGAACACGTGTCTAACGTATGTATGTACTCTGCGGCCACGCGATAAGCGAATGGCAAGCCGTCGTGGGCGAGAATACTGAATTAAAGTGTCAATTAAGGTAGCGCATGCACTTGCAAATCCCCAAATTACGTTGCCTGACACTCGAGCCGGCGGATTACTGTACGATGACGCAAGTCGTTCTCCTACGTAACGGTGCGTGTGTGCACACGTAGATAATCGCTTGCTAGATCGAGTGGAAAGGCGACTCACAAAGGTTAGCACGGTTTAACGCCTTACCTTGCTGTCGAACGCGATCCTGCGCGACATGAATTGAGTTTTCGAAGGACGAAAATAGCCACGGTCGGTGGACAATTAGCGACCTAGTTCACTACGTATAAGAAAGAAAGAGAGAGAGAGAGAATTGTTCTACTTTATATAATTTTGTAACAAATTTTCGTAGAAATCTGCGTAAGTTAATATTTTAACCTTTTCAGGGATACGTTTAGATATTCAATTTTTCTTATTTAATTCAAACATTGTCCACAGAGGTATAACAAATATTATTACGAATATTCACCACCAAATTTCGCAACAAGAGGAAAAATTTTGCCATATGATTGACAGATATCTTTCTCACTCATGTTCACTGGAAAATTAAATCAGTTTTCTTTGACTCTAATAAATTCATTCTTGAAGAGGTTAAACGCCACGTTGGGAGAAAGCTACTATTAAGAAAGTTTAATGTTTTTCTGTTTAAAAATGTAAACTTTTAAGATTTGTATTTCGCGGTGACTATAAGAGAAATAAATCTTTACAAGAAAGCATTGAAACGCGCGAATGCGACGAAATGCGACGTAATATTTATCGCTTACGCATCAATTTCCACGAGTCAGTTGATTGTATATAATCGGGTATATGTGCATGCTGGCGCACACTACTCACGTTAAGTCCTGCGACAAAACGCAATAACGTCGTAAATATCTTATCCCAACCGCACACGAGATTATCACATGTGCTGCGTTTATCACACCAGAACTCGGGACTTTCAATGTAAACACGTGCAGCCAGTGTCGGAGCCGAAAAGTACTTGCATAAACAGTTCGCCCGAGATTGTGTACGTGCGTACAAATTAATTCGGAAAATTCGTTCCGGCAACGTGCAAAATATTCCGTCGGGAACAATCTTTGCGTTAACGATATACAGATCAAACAAAAAAAGACATTCAAAAGGTCAGGCTCGTGTTTCACCTTTTTCCTACGTTTAACTGATTATTGATTTATTATTATTAATTGCCCTTAGTGCAGTGTTAACTTTTATCTTTAATCCGCCCGCTCTTCACATTGCGAGCAACGTAAAGAGAAATATATAAGTAAATTATACGAGTATCTCTCCTGTTATCACACTTATCTTCTTACTTTGTTGCATATGTATGAGATAAGAATTAAGCAATTACGTAACGCTGAATATAGCACGTGAATTCTTAATAGAGCTCTTGATGAAGCACTGTTTGACGAGTTCAAGTGTTCACGATGGAACACAAAAGCGAGAGCCTACGAAAGTTACGGGCCTAGTGGCCGTGCAGGTAGTACTCTGGTTTCTTGAGCCGTCGTTCACGGGTTCAAGCCTTAGCCGTTCTCTTGTCCGAGAAAAGGAAGGAGGGAGAAATCGCTTTTTTCTATCTTTAGGAGTATAGTTTGAGGGGAACTATTAGTATTAATATAATTCTTAGCTTTGCCTCCTTTCATGGTCCCCTCCCAAGTCTCAATGTGTTATCCGTGTGTGTGCCTCTCTCTACTCACGGGCGTCAAATGGGACTGACATGAACGATTTGTGTCGGGCCGAATTCCAAAGCCAGTATTTTTCGCCTCTCTATGGCACTAGTATTGGATAAGTCGGCCACAGAATTCTTTTGCTCTCGGCGTGAATCGTCGAAAATGCAAGTGCGAGAGTCTCGGTCACGCGATGACGTGGAATATTAAGCATCACGCTTCAAGTTGAATGTCGAGCCGCTCGCGCAATCGCAGCCACGATATCAGAACTCGTTTATCTTGGTGGCAAAAATGAAACCTGCAATTTACATCATTAGAAAGTCACGTGTTGCCGCTAATTTAGGCGGCGGACTGAACGAGGCGATGAGCCCGAATAGAAATGTAATTAGTCGATTTGAGACAAAAATTAGTAGCTAGCTGGTACAGGCTAGATTAAATTTTTTAGCTCGTTATTATATAATTCATTACTGGCTAATTGTTCATAAAAATGTAGAGTCGATTTTGTAATCTAAACGTTGTCCAGCCCGTTATATATGAAATATGATAGAGAAGATGGCGCGTAATTTATTCTAAAATATACAAGGAAAAAATTAGTATGAATTCGTAATTAGTAATTAGTATTAATTCGAGACTCGTATTTTCACATATATGAGCGAGAACATATAATCTAACATGAAGAAATTCTAGTCCTATTAGAATATTATATTCTTGTCATTAACACATTAACGGCGGGCGATCTCGACGAAAGTATGCTAGGTAGCGCGGCGGCCGCCCGCCTCGTTTTTCGGCCTAGAGCGGGCGATATTTTGTATGATCATAAAAACTTTAAGGTACAGTCGAGCTAAATTGTATTACTACGACTCCCGCCTTTAAGCCGCAGTCGAGATAAATCGTAGTACTACGACTCCCGCCCTTAATGTGTTAACGAATAATTTTTACGAATTGAGAGGAAAAAAATATTAGAAAGTAGGATATCTTCAAACTAATACAATTATTAGTTTGAAGATATCGTTTTTTATCCAATATTTTTTCTCTCAATTTATGAAAATTATTTTTAAATAATGAGAATATGATATTTTTAATGGAACTATTTTTCATATGTGTGTGTGTGTGTGTGTGTGTGTGTGTGTGTGCAAGCAAGCTTTATCTTTATATAAGATTAAATATTCTTGCTTATATGTGCTATATGTGAGAATATGTGAGAATATATGTGAGAACATGAATTTGAATTGATATTAATTTTGTTCTGTATATAATTTAGTTGTATATATATACATCTGCCACCAGCATTTAGATATGAAGTAGCAAATCAAAATTGAAGGTGCGTTATTCTATAAAGATTTTAAAAGAACAGGAGCGAGCTTTACGTTACCGCTTGACTAGCTATCATTTTTCACCTCGTAATTGTGATTTCTTTTGTTTAACCATCAGCCAACTCGTTTATCTAGTCATCGTCTAGCCACTAAGAAAAGTGAGCGTTACATTACTGGCTAATAGCGAGACATTAGACACAAATTTATTATTTCGTGGTTAGACACCCACGAAGTTTAATTTCTACGAATTTATTATTTCGATCGCAATCCGCGCCGAATTCAATCGCGAGTTCACATGTGTGCGGCGCTCGTCGTTGCGCGGTGCTTCTTTCGCATCGGAATCGGAATTTCGCGATAAGATAAAGCGACGGCTCATTACATCGGCTAAAGTCAACACTTGCTAGGTCTACCTGGGCAGCGCGAAGAAGGCGGGGAAGCGAAGGCTGGGAAAGGACAGAGCAATTGTCTATCGGCTCGAGACCTTTTCGCCGAAAGAGGATCTTGATGGGCTCTCGCAGTCGAGAGAGCGCATCGCACGTCACAAGTGAAACGAAGATTGGGGATGATCGTGCGCGCAAAGGAGGCTGAGATACGTCACGCGTAATCACTCCGCTCCAGCGATTCCGGCCGGGCGCAAATTGCGTCGCTGCAATTTTGCCTTCCGAGTATGTCGTCCCCCTTAAACAGAACACATAGTCGCCTACGTAGTTTGTTAATTCGATAATCGATCGTCGTCATACGTCACGGTCATTACCGAGGCGACCGCGCGGCTAAAATTCGATTACCAGTGGACACTTCAGCCCCGTTCTAAAGATAGAGAAAAGCGGGACGCAGCGGTCGAATGCAAAAGGTAAAAGATAAAAAGAGAGAGAGAGAGAGAGAGAGAGAGAGAGAAAGGCAGAAGGAGAGAAGGAGAAGAGACACATTCGCGTGTTGAGGTGTGATCGCGCCAGGCACGGACCGCGCTTCTTTTTCGTGAGATCGAAAGTTTCTCGACAGAAGTGCAAATTATTTCTCGTTAACGCGACACGCCTGAGAACTTCGTTATATATTACGATCGTTCCTTTTTTTTCTCGTCGACCTTAATGTCGGCCGTGCGCACGTACGGAATATTTCCAGCGTGCGATGTTACTTGGAAATGAAGAGCTAACGATCCTATCCCCTTGACATAGTGAAAATTCGGCTGGAGATGCCGTTCTTCTCTTCTCCCTCTCTCTCTCTCTCTCGGGTCGACGCGTCGCTACTTCGTCTTTCTAGCAGTGAAAGTCGGACGCGAGACGAAGCGAGATGATAATCGCCGCAACGGGATTAAAGCACTCTATGAAATTGCGTACGACCAGTTACGGACAACCGGAAACGGTTCTACGTACATGTACATGTGTAGTAGGCGAATCGACGATTCGTCTCGCAGCCGCATGATAGCCTAATCGAGAATAATTGAGGAGTCGAGTGTACTAACAAAGCGGAAGTCGAAAAGTGCTGTTTTGAAAAAGGAATACGTGATGGAAAGCTTTCGCATTTAAATGTACACGAGATACGCGACGTTATCTCGTGATTATGGATTTTTTATACAAAAAATGAAGTCTACTTATTTTTCTCCTTTTATATAGCTTGAATGGAGGGAAATAATAGAAATAATAATATAGGGTGCGGCGAAAGGTATGCCCTCATTTTGGAGAGCAATCAATAAAATACTATTAAATGTAGAGGATTGGAAATTTTTTTATTACCTTTGGTACTTCAAACAGTTTTTTTACATTAACGTTTAAAAACGATATCTGCAAGATGGCGGCCTCCAGTAGCAATGCACTGATGTAGCCGATTTTGGAAGCTTCGGGCTGCGTTTTGGCACATCTGAATCGGAATGGCGTTCACCTCTTCGATGATTCTCCTTTTCAGTTCTTGTAGGGTATGGGGACGATGCTTGAAGACTTTTTCTTTCAGATACCCCCACAAGAAAAAGTCACAAATGCTCAAATCGGGCGATCTTGCTGGCCACCCCAAATCACCCCTCAGATTGACACGGTTTACAAAATCATCGTGTTTCAGTTCTTGCACAAGCATGATCTTGTACGGGTGGAAAAACAATTCTTCGTGCAAAATTCTCCGGACAGAACGATCCGACAAACCCAGTGCAACTGCATGCCTCCGAGCAGAGCGCCTAGGCGAACGTTCCACTGATACCCTCACTAACTGCACGTTCTCTGGTGTTGTTGCAGTTCTGGGTCTTCCAACTGCATGAGTTCTTACTGTGGATCCGGTTTCTTCCAATGAAGAAACCCAACGTTTGATTGTTTTTCCATCAGGTACGGAAACATGGCGCGGAATATGGAATCGCAAGCGCATTGCTCTCTGCGTCGCAATGACTGAACGGCCATTTTCCAAAAAAGAGCGCACAGCGAATCCACGATGTTCTCCAGTCCAAATCATGATGTTAACTGAAAACGGTTGAGAACAACCTTCCTAATGAGACCCTGCCCAACAACCTACTCACGCCATCTGGTGAGCAACGGATTTTTCAAACTCGGGCAAACCTTTCGCCGCACCCTGTACAAATAATATATAAAAAAAATATATATATATTATAATAGAAATATAGAAAATCACATAGGAAACACAGAATGCAAAAATAATAAAGTAATAAAAAAATCATATATAATAGAAATAATAAAATAAATTTACGCGATTCGTCGTTTAAAAACTGAAGATCAAAGGTAAAATTAAAAAATTGTAAAAGTAACAAATTCAAAGAAAAATTCGATTTAGATCATACGAGATATTCCGCTCGGTATTCCAAGTACTCAACGTTCTCGTGTAGACGGTGCTAATAATTTTGTTGACTCGTTCGCGAGTGTTCTAACGAATATCATGCTCACGCTAACGCAAACACGCCCATCGCGATCGTGCGAGAGAGTACGAGAGGCGTCGAATGATTTCACGATCGGGCGTGCATAATAGGACTTTTCATTTGGCAAGAACGTGAAATTTACGGCGTTGTTTAGCGCAATTTATAAGCTCACTCGACGTGTTCCCTCGATTTATACTTGTTTTTACATTCGACCGAGCAACATCGTGACGCGCGTTCCTCGCTTCCGGCGAAGCAACCGGCCGTGTACGGCTCCACACCAACGTGCATACAGCGGGAATTCGCGGCTGATGTGTGACGATAGCGCGGTGCGTTCACGACGATTGTAATCGCGAGCGGTAACGCAATGCCGGAATCACGTGCGAAAAATGAGCACGAGCTCAGCGAGTGGCGGTTTAACGTGCGCGCACGTTGCGCACGACACCGCGCGGTCGTGTGTACGATGTGCGTGTGCAACTCCGCAGTGCGCATCACGAGACTGATTAGCGAGTGGACGCGCTAATGAATTAGATCCAGTAGATTTCGCGAAACTCGACGCATTCGGGCTGCACTGTAGCACGGGGACGGCGCACCGTGGGCGCTAGTTTCTCGTGTCAACATCACAATTATTGCGTCCGAAATCTCTTAAACAAGAATGACAACTCGCATCGCAACAACGTGACGGACATTCAATATTGTCCCATCCTACGCAGCCAGTTCCGCGCGCGAACGACGCGTGTGCGTCGCTCGGCCCCCGGGTCGAAATGTTGGCACTGTGTTAAACTCTACGACACAATAAGAGCTAAACTAGCAAAACAAGTTCAATTCCAGTAATATAATTTACACCTGCTCTTTGGCCACGATGATGTCTTAAATTCCCGTTTTCATTGGTTTTAGCAAAGAAAAATGAATTGTTTTAAATACTCGTGTGAATTTATAATAATAATCGAAATATTGAGAGCAACTTGTAGCGTTGAAGACAGCGTTAAAATTAAATATATAGAATTAAGAGTACAAGAGAGAAGTTAGCAAGCATAGCATCGGAAAAGTAAGTTTTTATTAATCTCTAGGACATTTAAGTATGCAATCTATTCTTAAGAGCGTCAAAGTGGTTTCAAAATTTCGAAAATGTCTTGTCGCTCTGGCTCTCCATCACGTTGGGATGGACGTCAGAATAGACGTCGAGTCGACAAAAAGTTTTTGTAAAAAGGTTACCGTAAAAAATAACGAGGAGGATTACTCGAGGCACGTTATATTCGTTCCTCTCGCGCTACCTAATATAATAACGATACTGAGCGCGATTAGATTAAGCGTTCGTACTAATCTCACGTACGATAACGCAGCATGTCTTCTAAAGGCGCTTAATAAGTTCGTTAGCTGGCAATCTGCGAGATCAGTAGTCGCTAGGATTTATCTCCCCCGGAGTTTCAGCCTGCTTGTTGTGAAAGACCGGCTCATCGTTGCGGTTTATTGCATTCGCGAACGACAACGTTGCGAAGTAACTCCTCTGCAGTAGAGCGCGAAGAGCGCTCCATTACGTAAGGAACGTAAGGCGCAAAACGATCGATTCGATATTACTATTACTACTACACTACTGCTGCGCGATCGTGAGAGAAATTCGCGTATTTGGAGCGATCGTTCACTTTCGAAAACGAGGCGAAACGGGAGATAGATACATTTAGACAGAGAGAAAGATAGATAGATAGATAGATAGAGAGTTTATTCAACTCTGGGGCTAAAATTATCATGGGCATACAATACGGTTCGTACAAAAGCAACTGCTAACAAGTGAGACACTATGACAGAAATAGAAAAAAAATTGAAAGTTAGAAGTGCTGAAAAGCGAGTGCTGAAAGATTTAGACAGCATTAAATGCACTCAACATCAACAAAGAAAAGAAAAGCTACAAGTATATATCCGTATAGTTACAGAGCTAATAATAATGGTTTATATGGATAATTGAGTAATTTTTAGAGAAAGAGAAAGAGGAAGGGAGAGAGAGAAAGAGAGAGAAAGAGAAATCGTTTAGTTATTACATCAATCGCCTCGTTGATTTTCGTGATAGAAAAGTTGAATTGATGATCTAATCAGCGAAGATACTATGAGTAAATGTAATTTGAGACACATCTATCTCTTATCTCGTCTCATTGGCTTTCTATTGGGTGTCTATGGTAGTCGAGTTTTCAAGTGTAACTAATTATACTTTGTATGTAATTACATGAGACTCGATAAGTATCACAATGCCGACCACCGGTGATGGTCACGGTATTCCACACTTGACTTGGCTCCACGTGTAACGCCCAACATCGCCGGCACGCTTGGTTTCAATACGGTTTAAAAAGTTTTTTTTCTCGAAACACAGTCAATGTCTAGTAAAACATCTTATCCTCTGGGAAGATAATTATTATTCAAAAACAAGCTCTGTTGGATATCGGCTACGTTTCCAATACTACACCGAGACAAAAGTGCACAAATCGTATCAAAATCAAGCGTACAAAGTGTATACGGGAAAAAATTAGTATCAATTCAAGATTCATATTTTCATGCATAAACAAGAATATATAATTTTATATGAAGATAAAACTTGCTCTTATACGTACTCTATATATTCCATTAAAAATATCATATTTTTGTTATTCAAGAATAATTTTCACGAATTGAGAGTAAAAAATGTTGGATAAAAAGAACGATATCTTCAAGTTAGGAATTGTATCGCATTTTCTATTCAATATTTCTCCCTCTCAGTTCATGGAAATTATTCATGAATAATATTAATATATTTGGAATGGAACCATATAGAATATATTTTTCTTGTAAGAACTTATATATATTACTTATATGTATATAACATATATTTCTTCATGTAAGAACAAATTTTACCTTCATATAAGTATTGATTCTCGCTTATTATATTATGAGAGAATATGAAAGTTTCGAGTTGACATTAATTTTTTTCTATATATTAAAAGACTTCCGGAAATGTTAATACGTTCGCTGTCATATTATAATTATTCTTATGTAATTGTATGAAGCAGAAACTTAATTGGTTCACGCGGATGGGAAAATTATCATCGTCACACGTATGTGACGTTGGTAGCGAACGTGTCAAGTGGAATCGGCAATTTTCAGTAAAGACGAGCTTACAGTGAGAGATCGGTGCGTCACACGCGCGTGATGACGCTGATCTTGTTAACGCGAACGTGTTAGAAGAATTTTTCGAGATTTATACCGATATTCGATGGCCGTTCATAGAAGTTCCGCGGGATAGTTCCAGTAAAGATTCGAGATGAGTCCAATTAATCTCACGTCCGGCGGCTTTTGATTGCTGTTAATTGAACCCGGATCGTTCCGACGCGAGTTCGCTCGGCGTACCGTGTCAAATTAATTAATCCTAAAGCGCCGATCGCGTGCACGTGTCCCGTCGGCTCACGCGTGTGCGACTACGGCGCGTGTACGTCGCCGCGTCGATTCGCCGCAATTCCGCGACTCGATCGGAAGAGGTTGCTCGCGGAATGCGTGTCACGCGGTGCTAACAGTACGCGAGGGATTCGCGCGCACTCTCGAAGAAAAGTTTCCAGCCCCGGCACCATTACTCGTCGTGTTTTCCACGCGCGTTCCTGATAATCGCGTCTCGCCGATAGCGCTCGCGCGAATCAGCCGCGCGAGTTACGACACTTCTCGATAAGGATCCGGTCCGGACGATCGCGCGCTCTGAAGCCCGCGAATAAGCAGCCACTCCCGGAAAAGTGGTCGCGGTTAAATACAGCTCTGGAACAACGAGAGGTGATTATCGGCGATTTTTATCCGCCGATTAACGACGCAGACAACGATGAACGTGACGAAATCAATCGGCGATCGCCGACGCGGAAACACGAGAGGCGAACTTTCGTAAATCGCGACACCTCGCGACATCACGTTGGCACGCATCCACCACGATCGAACAGGTTTTCTTTTTTTCGAGCCAAGGTTTTCGAAGGCGTGCGCGCGCGTGCCTCGCAAGCGTGTCGTCCTCGATCGATTCGCGGTTGCGAAACTCTTTGGCAATGGCGTCTCGCGGATAATCCTGCGGAATTTTGATGCACGACTTGTTCGCGTCGATCGGTTACGGAAAGATCGTGCTCGTTTGTATATCTGCAAAGCTGTTCTTTGCTTATTAACTATTATATTAATTACATTGATAAATCAAATTTAAATTTAAATGAAATGAAATAAAATAAAATAAAATGTAAGTTAATTGGTAAAATTGGTGGAGTCAGAAAATGCGCGATATTCTTTCATATACTTTTTAAAATATTTTATAATACTTTGTTGATAATATTTTATTTTACAATATTTATTTTAATACTATTTTATAACAATATTTATAATACTCCATATAGATTTCCTGACTCCATCTTGGAACAATCGGAAACGTTGTGACAAAAGGTTCAAAAGGTTCTTTTGTTGATCTCCTCGTTCGTGTTTTGCCGCGTAGAAGTTAAACTGCGCTTCTCTAAACCGTAAGGACGACCGGACGCGATCGGTGTGTTATCTTCACATACGTGCCGGCCATTTTGCCGATTTGTTTGTCCGCTCTCGAAAACAAGTCCAATGTACAATTGGCTCGCGGAATGTGGATTTCAAACGGCGCTGCACTCGACGATTTACGTCCACGAAAAATACGGCCCGGTTGCCCTCCTCTCGCGCGAGCCGCTCCGGTAAACAAAGGCATTGCCCTTTGACGAAATAGGGCACGCGACTCATAAATATTTAATGCTCACTGGAATTGAAACACAGCTCGTCTGTATGAACTCTTTGTCGCTATTAGTTCCGCAGTAAAATGTACATCGATCGTTACACATACATATGTATATATTATATTGTCAAATTAAAAAAAAGAACAAAATTAAAATAAAATATTAATGTATAAATGAGGAAAAAGTAAAATATATAAAATTGCGAGAATAATTTTAAGTGAGAGGATGAGAGGATTATCTAGAACATCTCGTGCAGATTTTTCGAAGAAAAATATGCCATTATATCGTCCTCTCATCGTGACGAGAATTTGCTCGACTTGGCGACATAAGGGTGTTCTCGCTTGTTATCATAATGCTGTACGATGTCATGTGCAAATTGGGTCAAATGACAGGTTCTTGATTCTCTCTTTGACGTATGAAATCTGGGCAGATCAGTTGGGAATTAATTGAAACGTAGGACCATAACGACGCTCTCTGACGATCTCTTCGGGGTGGTTGGTTCGTCGCCATGACGACCTCGAGAGGGTCTATCCTCTCCCCGTGATCTCTCGAGGCTGGCAAGAACGCGTGCCTCGAGTGCTGCATCCATGATGTCGATTATTACGTCTCTTTTCACCGTGCGAATTGATTTGCCTGCGAAACCGCGCCGGCTGCAGCTGTTTTGCGTCTCGCGCATATTTCAGAGGCGACACCGTTAAATCTAATATCGCGATACGAGAATTAAGTCCCATCTCAATATGTTAATTATGATCTCAGCGTATTAATCATCGTGTCGAGGTATCACGGGCATTTGTTCATACGTCATTTTGACGAATGAGCGAGACGTAACATCGTTATTTTGTAATTATTATATTTTAACGTCGTTAACGTCGCACGTGAATTTCGTACTTATTAATATTAATCGTCACGTCGAGGAATCACGAGCATTCGTTTGTACGTAATTTTCACGAGTAAGCGAGATTTGATAGCGACATTTCATAATTATTATACTTCAACGTCGTTAGTATCTCGTATTTATTAACGTCAAGTTTATACCGTTAGTGTTCCGCACAAGCGTGCGACAGAACCTCGCCCCGCTTGTTTCTTTCTCTCGCGGAAGCTGGAGAGAATATCTCGCGCGTTACATCGCGACCAGAATCGTGGAAACGTTCCCGCAACTTCTTTCTTTAACCTAGAAATAGAAAGGACTCTGACGCAAGCCTGGAAACTGGTGCAAAGAAACTCGGCCGTCATGTTTGGCAAGAGACCATTGGGCAACCGTTACTATTTTATCTCCGTTTCGGTCGAATGGTTTTCACGGGCCAGTTTCGGCTGACGAAATGCGGCCGCTTGTCGATTTCGGGTTCCTATCGAAAACACCACGTACGAGCGAACCCACGAGAGGCCAAATGGAGAATAAGTTCGCCGGTGAATAACTAGTAAATTGCCCTATCATCGGGTCATCGAATCCATGTTTATTCGCGCGCGACAACCACGACGATATCGGATTGGCGGTAAAAGTTTGTTCGATTTTTCAATCAATTCTTCGATCAAAAGTCTCAGGATTTCTACGAGCGCGTGATCACGCAGCTACCGGAGAGATAACGGATCGTCGAACAAAACGGTGCATACTTAATTGATTGATTGTATTTTAAAGTAAATAAATATTATATGTACGTTTTTATTACAAAGTCGAATGAACTTTTGCGTCAACATGATAAAATTATAATTTCATAAATAAAACAAGAAAGAATCTCAACAGGAAAGATCGTCAGTCGCGAGAAAAATAAAGCACGAGGGCAAGAGAGATAGAGAGAGAAAGAGGGATTTAATTCTACAACACAGTAGGAACTAAGATAGCAAAATGGAGAGGTTAAAAATAATTTCAATTTTGATAATATAATTTACTCCTGCATTAACACTGATGATATCTTAAATCTCTTTAAATTTCGAACAAATTCGGCACATACTTAATTGATTAATTGCATCTTAAAATAAATATATGTATATTTTGATTAAAAAACGAACTTTCTTGCATCAACCCAATAAGTTGTTTAAAATCGCATTACAATTAAATCTGCAGAACTAAAACTTTAAGAAAGAAGTTAATGAATATCAATATTGTCAAAGTAGATTTTAATTAGTCTGTAGGTCGTCCAAGTTGGTATAAACTATTTTGAGGAGAATCGAAGTAGTATTCAAATTTTGACTCATGTATTATTATACGTACGTTTTAATCAAAAAACGGAACGAACTTCTGCATCAACCCAATAGAATTATAACTTCTCCAACAACGAGACGGCACCGGGAAAGATTGGCTGTCGCGAGAAAAATGAAATACGAAGGAGGGAAAGAGAGACAGAGAGAAAAAGAGAGAGAGAGAGAGAGTTTTGCTGTCGGAGATTGAAATGAGGACGGAAGTGGACGAGAGCGGTGGGATTTTCAAATATAACAGGAACATTGCGTAACGTGGCGGAAGATTGGGATATCCCAATGAAGTGGACGCCCACGGACGATCGTCCGTGGCACCGTAACATCGGTCTCCCTGAGAATGAAACGGGCTCCGTTCACGATGCTGAGACTCGTTTTTAAGTAGTGAGTCACACGGCTCTCTATTACCCTTACCCGGGCAGCTTCTGGTAAATCCGACGAGGAAAAAATAAGGAATGCTCCTTACTGTTCGCATGTCACTAAGCGCGCGCGTTCCGAAAATATACCCCGCGCTCCCTCGCGCTGCCTCTTTTTGCAGCGTCAACTTTAAAGAACAGAACACGCGCCGTTGGCGTGTATCGAGAAAGGAGAGTAAAAAAAGAATTTGCATTAATATCTCGCGATATTCGCAGAAGCCTGTGATATTTTAACGTATTCCCGCAGAATACCGTCGTTTTAAAAGTCGCGACGCTAAGTATTATTTGCATCTGTTATCAGAAGTTACACACAGATTGTATATCGAAACGTATTACCCCGAGTCAAAATTTCAGTTCTACATTAAGTCTACTTTACAAAATGCAATCAGTGTATTATTATTGAGAAGCAGTTAATGGTCACTAATAGGCGTAATGATAACACTGCGAATCAGAAAAATTTCGCTGTAAAAGTTTGTTAATGACAGCAACTGTTTCTATCGAAGAAATCTAACTGCAGAAACAGTGGAAATGTATTTATTATTTATCACTTCTTTTTTATTATCTTAACACTTTGACTGCCACGCCGAAATCACATGTTTCGCTCAGGACGCCACGGGAGTATTTTTATTATTCAAAGCATTATAATGGCAAAATAATAATAAATTGATGATATAAGACAACATTCTTACCCAATGGAGCGTTTATCTTATTGGTGGTCACGGATGACCACCGTGGCGCCTTAGTAACGGTTGATAGCGACAAATTAAAACAAGGCTTCGTTTATTTCAACAAACTATTCGCATTCGTTATTTCGTCGTAAGCGAAACGTCCAGAATATATTGGTGAAACGTGTAGAAGATATTAGTAAACAGTATTTGCTCATTCTATATATAATAGTAAGGTATGTGCACACTTCTAACTTCAATTATATGATTATAAAGCAGCATTTACGATTATTTTCTGAGGTGTGTTTATAATAATATTCGTAGATTACCTCTCAAAGATAAGGATGCAAACACTGAATATTTTTCAAGTGTATCCGAGAAGTTTTCATCGGAAGACTCGTCTCAAAATGAAGTATCAGAAGACGAAATA